CAGTGTTGGCCTTTGAGTCCACGTACACAAGACGAAGCTGACCACGCTGCTGCAGCTCTCGAGCAAGAAAGTACCGGAGAGCAATGTGCTTCGTTCTGTGCTCCAGTCTGTGCTCCTGACACAAGGCAAGGGCTGCCTTGTTGTCACCGTACAGAACTGGAGGAGAACGAGGCCGCTCTCCCAAGTCAGTCAGCAGGTAGGTGAGCCAACGAAGCTCCTGTGCAGCCATGGCCGTGGCGTAGATCTCAGCCTCACAACTAGAGCTGAGAACAGAAGAAGAGCGGGTGGACCGCCACGAGACAGAACCAGAGCCAAGGCTGAAAGTGTAACCCTGCGACGACCGCTGCGTAGTCAGGTCGTCAACCCAAGAGGCGTCTGAGTGTCCAGTGAGGACAACAGGGCCCTGTCCTCCAAGCACCAGCCCCATGCCTGATGTACTGCACAAGTAGCGCAGCACCCTCTTAGCAGCCTCCCAGTGCTCTCGCCTGTGTCTCCCAGGCGCGACGTAGCGAGCTAGGATGCTAAGAGGGTACGCGAGGTCAGGTCGAGTGCAGGTCATCAGGTACATGAGGCAGCCCACAAGCTCTGGGTATGGGCCACTCGGCTCTACGGACTCGTCTGAAGGTGGAGCTGAGAGCGAGTGGCTGGTAGACAGAGGAGTGGACTGTGGTGAGGAGAACTGGAAGCCGAAGCGCTGAAGGACCTGCCGCACGATGTGTGACTGGGTCAGGGTGATGGTGTGGCGTGCTCTGTCCCGGGTGATCTGCAAGCCAAGGTAACTGCGCAGCTCACCCAGGTCTGTGCACGTGTGTCTCTTCTGCAGCTCCGACTTCACAAGGGCAAGTGCCTCAGTGTCAGCAGTTGCAAAGACCAAGTCGTCGACGTACACGAGTATGTAGAACGGCGGCAGCGACGTGTCTGTGCGCAGGAACAGTGACGGGTCTGCAGTGGAGGGAGCAAACCCAAGAGCCGCAAGCGTCGTCCTCAGTGTGTCGTGCCACTCGCGTGGCGCCTGGCAGAGACCATAGACAGGCCGTCGGAGGCTCCACTGGGTACCAGGAGGGAAAGACCCAGTGAAGCCAGGAGGACGGCGTAGCCAGATCTCCTCGTGTAGGCTGCCCTGCAAGAGAGTCGTGCTGAAGTCAAGAGAGTGAAGCTCGTAGTCACGCTGAGCGGCAACGTGCAGCAACACCCGAAGAGTGGTCATCTTCGAGGTGGGAGAGAAGGTCTGGAAGAAGTCAACTCCTTGTCGCTGACTGAAGCCTCGAGCAACGTAACGAGCCTTGAAGACAGGCGGAGAACCCGGCGGCCGCTTCACCCTGAAAATCCACATGCCATCGACGATGTTCGCCCCAGGAGGGGGAACTGCGTCGACGTAGGTGCCTGTGGACTTCCAGGATGCCATCTCTGCGTCCATGGCTGTCTGCCACTGAGAGGAGTAGGGACCCGAGACCGCCTCTGTGTAAGAGCGGGGGGTAGGGATGTCAAGTGCATCCGGGTCTCCCTCAGGGGCAAGCAGCCAGGCCGTGAGATGAGGTACAGCAGCCGCAAGACAGTCAAAGTCCTCCTGCCTGTCCTCAAGGACGTCCGTGCTAAGAGCACACTCACCCCCAACGGACGGAGGACAGACAGACTCAGACTCAGTAACAAGACTGGCAGCGTAGTCTAGACGACAGGCAACAGCAAAGTCAACAAGCTCAGTGACCAAGGCAGACGCAGCAGTAGACTCAAAAGAAGGGTCAGTGACAACAGTAGCTAACAGACGTGTGACAGTAGGGTGCTCAGCACGAAACCGGTCAGACTCAGGGTCCGGAACGTCAGGCAGAGAGGACGCAGGAGGAGACGGCAGAGGAACAGACTGCGGAGACGAGGAAGGACGACGAACTACGAGGTGTGTGCCGGGGACAGCCGGCTGACGCGGACGAGGAACACGACGACCGGAACGACCAGGACGGACAGGCGAGACAGGACGCGACGCAGGCTCACGACGCTCAGCAGGACCACCGGGCTGCTCAGAGTAAGGAGAAGGTGCAGGCAGCGGTGAGCCAGGCTGTAACGGAAGACCAGTAGACGACGGTAGGCTAAGAACCTGGCGAAGCGCAGAGTCAGGCGGTAGCTGAAACGACGGAGACGGCGGAGCGAAGAACAGTCTCGGCTGCTCCGGGCCACAGGCGCCACCAGCTCCAGCGCCTCCTGCAGCTCCAGTACCTCCAGCAGCTCCAGCACCCCCAGTAGCAGCTCCTCCAGGCTCAGCGTCACCAGCCGCAGCACCCCCAGAACCGGCACCTCCAGTCCCAGGGTCTCTAGGCTCCGTGTCTCCAGCAGTAGCACCCCCAGACCCAGAGTCTCCAGCAGCAGCACCCTCACGCTCCGTGCCTCCAGTCCCAGCAGCTCCAGTACCCCCAGTACGAGCACCTCCGGGACCAGAGGCCGCAACTCCAACACCCCCAGAAGCAGTGCCCCGTTCTCCAGTAGCTCGACCCTGACGGCGACCGTACCAATCGTGCAGCTGCTGCGAGGTGAGGGGGACACGTGGACGAAGGCGGGCACTCCAAAGGGACCGCGTCCCAGCCGCACCCGCAGGTAGCTCAACTCCAGGCCCAGAACCCCCAGTCTCCACAGACACAGGCTCGGCACCCTCAGACGCAGTCCCCCCAGGCAGAGTACCTCCAGGCTCTTGACTCGCAGGCTCAGTACGGGCAAGCGCAGTGCCCTCAGACTCCACACCCCCAGGCTCAGCACCCCCAGGCACCTCACACTCACGCTCTGCACCCCCAGGCTCAGTACCTCTAGGCACCTCACACTCACGCTCCTCACCCCCAGGCTCAGCACGTCCAAGAACCGCACCCCCAGGCTCCGCACCCCCAAGCTCCGCACCCCCAGACCCCTCACCCCCAGGCTCCGCACTCCCAAGCTTAGTACCCCCAAGTTGCGCACCCCTAGGCTCCGCACCTCCAGGACCAGCACTACCTCCAGCAGGACCTGAGTCACCAGTGACCTCAACAGGCGCAGGCACGGGAGGGTCTACCTGGGAAACACCTGAAGGGGCAGGACCTGGCGCGAGAAGAGGGTCTACCTGAGGAGGACCTGGAGTGAGGAAGAGCGGTGGGGGGGTGCGAGGGGAGGTACGGTAGGGAAAGAGACGGTAGAAGGGAACGGACTCGTCAAAGGTGACGTCCTGAGACGAAAAGACACGGCGCTAGGAGGGCTCGTAGAACTGCCAACCAGGCGCGTCAGGAGGGAAACCAAGGAAGACACAGGGAACGGCGCGAGCGGAGAGCTTGTCCGCGGTGGTATCGCGGACAAAGGCACGAGCACCCCAGACCCGGAAACGCGACGCATCGCCAACCTTCCCCGTCCATAGCAGGGTGGGCGAGGTCTCCGGCAAGGAGACACGGGGCCAAAGGTTGAGCTGATGCGCAGCGTACCGGACCGCAAACGGCCACAGAAAATGGGGGGCAGCCGCATGGATCATGGAGGTATGAGCGACCTCCATGACTAAGCCAATGCGGCGCTCAGCAACCCCATTCTGCTGCAGAGAGGCCGGAAGCGTGAACGACTGGGTGATGCCGTGCTCTACACAGAAGGCTTTCAGGAGGTCGGAGGAGAACTCACCACCTCGGTCAGAGTGCAGACGCAAGACAGGGAAGTCCGACTGGAATCGCTCGCGGAGCTGGAGACGAGCAGCGCGGATCCAGGGGATCAAAACAGCAGGGACGTCCCCCTTGCTGCGCAAGGGGAAGACCGTGGTGTAGCGCGTGTAGTCGTCGACTACCAGCAGGAAGTACCGCTCGCGGCCCTGCCCCTGGACGCGGGCCGGGCCCCACACGTCCAGGTGGAGAGTCTGCAGTGGAGCCTCTGTGGGAGGGAACGAGGAGGAGTGAGGAGCGGCGCGCTGCCGCCCCTCGACGCAAGGAATTGAGGGAGGCGCAGGCGAGGGAGGGAGGGCAGGGAGAGACCTGGGAAGGCCAGAGACCAGGCAGCGAGAGTGCATGCTACGAAGGCGAGGCAGGGAGGGGTGACCAAGGCGGTGGTGCCAAAGGAGAGTGTCGTGGGACAGGCGGCGGCACTCACACTGGGTGGCTACCTGAGCAGACGCGTACAGCTGTGGAGACAAAGGAGTGTAGCGTGAAACAGTGGTGAGGGTGTACAGACTGGACCCTGGCTCACGGGTGAACGTGGCTAGGTGGCGGCCAGTCCGAGAGCAGGTGCAGATCGCCACACGCTGTCCCCCAGGAGTCCAGGTGTCAACCCAGTGATCCTGAAGAACAGCGTTGCTCACCAAGTTCGTAGAGAACGAGGGAACATGGAGACCTGACAGCTCACCGGACGGGACCGCCGGGCACGGAAGCACAGTCGAGGCTCGTGCCAGCACTGGGCCCCCAGAGGGGTCAGCCAGCGAGACAGGAACAGGTGCAGGGAGGGGGGTGACTGCGGTACTGTCGCGAAAGAAACAGCGCGAAGCACCAGAGTCAAGTGTAAACGTGTGCAAGGCCTGGGCGGACGCAGTACCAGAGAGGGCAGACTCACTAGTACCTAGGGCTGCAGTCTCTATACCTGGGTCAGGCGGAACGCACAAGTAGCAGTCACCCTCAGCACTAACAGTCAATGCATACATGGCAGCAAGGATTGCATCATAATCAAGATCATAGACAGGTACATCACGCCTAAGCAGATCTGCCCAGTTGGGGAACTCAGTGGCATCAGGGAACTTGGCGCGCCAGGCGTCGCTGAGGCGCGCAAAGCAACGGTACTCAGTGTGGAATCCGTTGCACGTGCGACCCTTGCGAGGGCCAGAACGAATGACATAGGGGCAACGACCAGAACCCCCAGGCGCCCCACGTCCAGCATACCAGTCATGAAGCTGCTGGGAAGAGGGGGTTTGGCGCTGCGACGACTGCTGCTGTGGCTGCTGCTGCTGCTGCTGCTGCTGCTGACCGGTCCCACTCCCGCCCCCACCTCCTCCACCACCGCCACCTCTTCCTCCCCCCTTACCGCCGCTACCGCCTCCACCACTCCCGGCCCCACTGCCACCCCACCCACCACCTCCACCCCCGCGACCACCTCCTGCCTCCACCACCGCTCCTTCCACCCCCGCCTCCACCACCCTTGCCATCCTTGCCGCTCCTGCCACCGCCACGCTTCCCACTAGGGGCGGAGGCTGCTGCGACCTGCTTAGTGCTAGAGAGGTCAACGGCAGTAGCAGCTGAGGTGTAGGAGGGGGTAAGGGGGGAGGGGGAGCACCCCTCAAAGAGGGGAGTGCGGGGAGTACCTCTAGCGGCACCGACGGCTAGGATATTCTTCCCTGCTGCGAGAAGCTGCTGCTCGAAGTCTGCTAGAGTGATCTCGGTGGGATCCATGGCGAGAAAATGGTCCCTGACTACGCTAAGGGTGTCAGGGAGGCGGGTGACGAGGAGATAGAGGGTCCAGTAGAGCGGAGGAGGGTTGGCGGCAAGGAACTCGGCCTTAAGAGCGGCTCGAAAGCGAGCGTCACTAGCGCGGAGGTGAGAGATGAGGTCCTCAGCAGTGGGAAAGGAGGACAGGTCGGGGAACAGGTAGGGCAGGATGAGACGTCCTACAGCGGCAGTGGCTGGGGAGGAGTAGCGTGCAACTACAGCGTCGTACAGGGTCTTAGCACTCTTGTGCTGACTAAAATGCGCGCGCTCAATGATTGGTAGGTGGTTGCGGATAACGAGGCGTGCAGCAGCATCGCGAGTCTGCCACTGTGAGCGGTCAAGAGCAGGAGCACTGTCAGCAGGAGCAGCGGCAGTGCCAGTGGCGTGATCGTAAAGGGAAACGCCATCTTTGGCATCGGTCATAAGGGACAGCTGCAAATCGTCAAGCCAGGTGGAGAATTCTATGGGGCAACCGTCAGGCTCAAAGGCAAGGACGTTCAGCGTCGCCATGGTAGCAGCGTAGGCAGGCGCTAGGCAGGCAGGCAGGTGCTAGGCAGGCAGGCAGGCGCTAGGCAGGCAGGCAGGCGCCAGGCAAGTAGGTAGGCGCGATAGACAGGCAGGGTGCAGCGGTGCACGGGCTGCGCGGGCTGCGGGTGGGGCAGTGTGGGCGGCGGAACGGGCGGCACGGGCTGCTGGGGCGGTGGGATGGGCCGTGCGCGGGCGGGCGTGGCTCAGGGCGGGCTGCGCGGGTGCTCGGCTGGGCCGTGCGCGGGCGGTAATGCGCGCGCGGGGCTGCGGGGCAGCGGAGCGGGCGACGCGCGGGGTTGCAGGGCAGCGCGACGGGCCAGGGCAGGGCTCGCGCGGGGCCGCAAGGCAGGGCAACGGGCGGCGCGCGGGTCTGCAGGGCAGCGCGACGGGCCAGGGCAGAGCGCGCGCGGGGCTGCAGGGCAAAGCGACGGGCGGCGCGCGGGGCTGCGGGGCAGCGCGACTGGCAGGCAGGCAGGCTAGGCAGGCAAGGCAGTTAGGGCGTGGGGTAGCACGGCAACCGCAGGCAGTAGTTGGTGGGCCCTAAAAAATCGATCCTGAGGTCCTAGGGACCTCCTGCTCTGAATACCATGTTGAAGTCTAGAGACAAGAATGAGAATGACTAGGTCAGAGTTTGGCACAAATGGAAAACCCTAATGGGGTTGTACCCCATATTAGCTACCCCACTACAGCCTACACAAGCATATATCACATATATATTTTGACAACCTCTTCAGCTGGGGATCTTTCCTCCTTGCTGCTGCTGCAATATTCTCCCTCCTATAGGAAGTTGAGGAAACAAAACATTAAGTTGAATGCAACAAGCTGAGGAAACAACTGCACAGATTTTCAACAGAAGCAAGAATGGGTGGTGCGGGTAGTACTGATCGAACGCCAGGCAGAAAGTAAGCAAGAGGAGAGAAGAGGTTAGCTTGCAGCCACGCATTGAGGAAGAGTTACTGGTTGTTTGCCGTGGTCGTCAAAGTGCATGGCTTCTATGCTGCCTCTCAGTCAGCCTGATCATTTGCCTGTGCTGCTCTTACGTCTGCCAGACTGCCACCACAAAACTGCCCAGGACGAGGAATTGAGAGGGAGAATAAGGGGTTATTGAGTAAAACAAGTTGTTGGAATGAGTAACTGAAACAAGTAATTTGTCTCCAGTGACTGGATTCAAGGTCATTTGTATAACTAGTAATGGAAATCAGTGAGTGAAATGAGTTACTGAAACAAGTCACTGGAATCCTTTGTGAAATTACGCTACTGAAATAGTTACTGCAATAAGAAATGGACGGAATCGTTGAATAATGAACGTAAAAATCACTCAATGAAACGAGTCGCGCTGAAAAAAGAGTGACTGAACTCATAGCAATCCGTAACTGGAATGCGTCCTAGAACAAGTCACTGAAACTCGTCCTGGGCATTAGTGACTAGAACGAGTCACTGAAACAAGCTATAGGAATCAGTGACTAGATATGAGCCACTGAACCAAGTCATAGGAATTAGTGACTAGAAATGAGCCACTGAATCAAGTCATAGGAATCAGTGAATAGAAATGAGCCACTGAACCAAGTCATAGGAATCAGTATCTAGATACGAAACACTGAACCAAGTCATGGAAATCAGTGACTAGATATGAGCCACTGAACCAAGTCATAGGATCAGTGACTAGAAATGAGCCACTGAACCAGGTCTTTGGAATCAGTTACAAGAAAATATTTACAGGGTGATTTCCACCAATACAGGCAAGTCATTTCACCACAATCGTTTCGTGGCTTGATTGCATGTTGCTGTCCTGAGTGTGATAAGCCTCGACCCATTTATCCCACCAGCAGCACCATATCAACGATCTGCAGGGACTGCCACTACAAGGGCTGCAATGAAAAGAAGACTATGAAGTAAGTAGTTTCGTATGTCCTTCAGTGTTCCTTAGAATGACTGCTTTTGGCTGGTTATCAATCCATCAGTGGTGCTTGGGTCATATGCGAATGCTTATATGATGATGACAAGGGGAATGCGCAAATATTGTAGATTATAAATGCAACAAGTTGGAGGGAGTAACAGCATGCAGCAAGGGAGAGATGCAGCGAGGAAAATACAGATGAAAAGAAGGGGCAATAAGACAAGCTGAAAGGTCGAGGATAAAAGAGGGTTTTAAGCAATCATATGCTACAAGCCGTTAAGTGAAAATGGTGATATATACGTGTGTAAGTGTTATGGTAACATGCTTGCCATGGGAGGGACAGGGGAAAGGAGTGGAAAGACAGGGCACAGGAGGGTCGGCAGAGAGAGAGAATAACATAAGAAGGTATTTTCTGTAGAAAAGGAGGAAAGGGTGAAATGTAATAGAAGGGAGCCGTTGCGACTCAATGCTGTTGGGTTGGAGGGGAGGGGGTAAGGGAGGTGGGGGGTGGGGGGGGGGGGTGAGATTAGGGAAGACTTGAGAGAGCTAACAAGGAAGGAGAAAGCAAATAGAGAGGAACGACACAAGAAGGGAGAGAAAGAAGGGCGACAAAGAATAGAGAAATGTTAGTTGATGGCATGTGACGCCATACGAAGCCATATGATGCCAAATGATGCCATATGATGCCATATGATGCCACATCATGCCATGTGATACCATATGATGCCATCTGATGCCATATGATGTCATATGATGCCATCTGATGCCATATGATGCTGTATGATGTCATATGATGCCATGTGATGCCATATGATGCCATCTGATGCCATCTGATGCCACATGATGCCATCTGATGCCATCTGATGCCATCTGTGCCATATAGTGTCAGGTGATGGCATATGATGCCATATGATGCTGTATGATGTCATATGATGCCATGTGATGCCATCTAATGCCATCTGATGCCATCTGATGCCATCTGATGCCACATGATGCCATCTGATGCCATCTGTGCCATATAGTGTCAGGTGATGGCATGTGATGCCATATGGTGTCAGGTGATGGCTGTTGACGCCTAGTGATGCTGGCTGATGATGCTACCTAATTCCATCACAGATATGAGAAAAAAAGGGGTCTGGACCTCTTGGATAGGGGTTGAGTGGTGGGGGATGGGCTGATGGGAACGGAGAGAGGAGAAAATGCAGGGAGTATGGGAAGGGATTAAATATATAGAAGGAAATGAGAATGAATCAAGGGGAAAGAGATCAGGGTACAGAGGAGATTAGGGTACATACTAGGAAGCAACAGGGGAAGGAGAAAGGCTGTAGTGATGGGAAGAGGGTTTTACTGGAGAGGCTGAGAAATGGACAATGAACTCAAGAAGAGTCCTACATGAGTTCCCCACTGGAACAGGTCTCTTAATCAGGCCAATCAATGAACAAGAGGGAATTAATGCATGTGTTCCAATAATTTAATATACAGATTGTCAAATGTTGTAGCCTATAGTGAGGATTGTCTTAGGGGGTACAAAAGTTAGGGTTAGCTATATGTACCCCAACCAACATCAATGCATCATTCATTCCTCATTTTGACATGGTATCAGTTAGGTTAGGATCCTGTGGGATCCCGTTCCTCCGTTCTCCGTTCGTACCACCCGAGCCTGATCCTAGCTCTCGTTCGTACCGGTCCCGTTGTTACCGAGCCTAGCGCCAAGCCTAGCTCTCGTTGTTACCGAGCCTAGCGCCCAGCGGCCGCAGCTGGATCCGGGGTCGGGGTTGCGTCAGACCCAGCGTGGTGCTGCTTACACTCCCTGACAGGTCCTCGCCGGGGCCACCCTTGTGGCCGCCTTCACCCCCCTGGTCAGTGCTTTGCTCAGCTCACTGACACGGTTCGTTTGGTCTACGGGGTTGGCGGTCCTGCCCCTGACTGGCTTCCTCTTGTTCAGCGTTACGGCTCCGCTCTGTGGGGCATGTCTGCTGAGCAGTTAGCAGATCTGATTGGAACTCCTCATGCTATGTATGCTGTTGTTGACTCTAGTGTTTCTGACTCTGTTTACTCTGGTGTTGTTAGCTTAGGTGCTAGCCTTGCTCAGTTGCCTGTTGCTAGTGTAGGTTCTTGTGTAGACTCTAGTCCAGCGGCTACCTCGGAGGACGCTTCGCTGTCGTTCACGCTGGACTCTGGAGCCTTACATTGCTTCTTTCGTGACAGCACGGCACTTACACCACTTCCTGCGCCTGTTTCTGTGGCGCTGGCTGATCCCACTTCGGGACCAGTCACTGCGCGTCACACTACCACTTTGCCGTGTCCTGCTGCTCCCTCCGGGTCTCTCACTGGGTTTCACGTCCCCTCGTTCTCCCGGAACTTGGTTGGCGTGCGACCCCTCGTGAGTCAGCACGTGGGTGTGTGGTTTGAGCCTTCTGGAGAGACTGCGGTGTGTGTTGACGGGGACTCTTACCAGCCTCTGGCCACCTTTGCTGCTGAGCCGGGCTCAGGTCTCTACACTCTTCACACTGGCCCGCGTGCGCAGCAGCAGCCGCAGCAGCAGCAGCAGCAGCAGCCGCAGCAGCAGCCGCAGCAGCCCCAGCAGCAGCAGCAGCAGCAGCAGCAGCCGCAGCAGCCGCCGCCGCAGCCGCAGCCGCAGCAGCAGCAGCAGCAGCCGCAGCAGTAGCCGCAGCGGCAGCCACCCCTACTGCCACCGGCCCCTGTTCCGCCCCCCGTTCGAGTCCCCGCGTCTCACCAGGTTGCTCCGTCCCCCCAGGTAGCTGTGTCTTGTCAGGTTCCTCCGTCTAGTCCGGTCGCTGCGTCGTGCTCCTGCCAGTCGCTTGCCCACCCCACCGTTCTGTGGCACCACCGGATGGGGCACCCTTCTCTTCCCCGTCTGCGCGCTATGTCTCGTCAGCGTCTTGTCTTAGGTCTCCCGCGTGTCTTGCCGTCGCTGCCGCCGTCCCTTGCACCACCGTGCGGTCCTTGCGTCGAGGGTAGGCTGCGCGCCACCCCTCACTCCTCCTCCCTTCGTCCGGCCACCAAGCCTTTTGAGACGCTTCACTTGGACGTCTGGGGCCCCGCCTCTCGCCTTGGCCCTGAGCGTGAGCGTTTCTTTCTGGTGGTCGTTGACGACTACTCCCGCTACACCACAGTGTTCCCCCTGGCGAAGAAGTCTGAGGTGACTTCTACGCTGATCAGGTGGTTGCTTACCACGCAGGACACTCGTGGTCGTCGTGTCAGCTGTCTCCACTCCGACCGCGGGGGTGAGTTTCGCTCCGGCATTCTCGCTGGATTCTGTCGCGAACAGGGCTTTCTTCAGTCTTGGACGCTTCCAGAGTCCCCACAGCAGAATGGGGTTGCTGAGCGCCGCATAGGCCTGGTCATGGAGATTGCCCGCACCTCCATGACTCACGCCCGTGCCCCCCATTTCCTGTGGCCCTACGCGGTCAGGTACGCCGCGCACCAGCTGAACCTCTGGCCACGCGTCTCTCGGCCAGAGGCTTCACCGACCAGTCTTTGGACCGGGTCCCCTGGTGTTGCGTCGAGGTTTCGTGTCTGGGGGTGCTTGGCTCTTGTCCGCGACACCTCCGCGGACAAGCTCTCGCCTCGCGCCGTTCCTTGTGTCTTCCTTGGTTTCCCTGAGGACTCCTCTGACTTCACCTTTTACCACCCTCCCTCTCACCGGTTCTTTGACTCCCGTGACGTTCGTTTTGAGGAGTCCACCCCCTACTACGTCAGGTACCCCAGTCGAGGTCTCCCGGTTCCTCCTCCCCCTCTCTTCCTGACTGCCGCTCCCCCTCCTGCTCCCCCGGTACAGCCTCCCCCCCTGGTCCAGCCCCGTCTGGTGTGTCTCAGGCTAGCCCTCCCCCTTCGGTAGCCCCTCATGTACAGCCTCCCTCCCCACAGTCTTCCTTGCCACGTCCTGCAGGTGCTCCCTCTCGAGAGGATGGTACTGAGACTGTTCCTGTACCGGTTTTTGGTTCTGGGGGTGCTGGAGTTGGAGCTGCGCAGCGGGTTGCAGGGGACTCTTGTCTTCCGGGAGCTGGTGCTGGTCGTGCGGAGTCTGGGGGTGCTGCGTCTGGGGGTGAGGGTGACCCCCCTTCGGTTTCTGGTGAGCCTGGGTCTGGAGCTGGTGTTGGTGCTGACTCTGGGGGTGGTGTGCCTGGTGCTTCGGAGGTGGACTCTGGGGCTGCCGCTGCCCCGACCACTACTACTACCCCCCACCCCTACCCGACCAGGTTCCAGGCTCGTGTTCGCCGTGCTCGTGAGGAGCAGCTGGAGTTGGAGAGAGAGGAGCGAGAGTTGCAGCGGCTCGAGGAGCAGGAGCGACAGCAGCAGCAGGAGAAGCAGCAGCAGGAGCAATAACAGCCGCAGCCGCAGGAGCAGCAGCAGCAGCAGCAGCTGGAGCAGCAGCAGCAGCAGCAGCAGCAGAAGCCGCAGCAGCCCTAGCAGCAGCAGCAGCAGCCGCCTCCTCCTCCTGTCTCGGGTCTTCGGACCCTTGGTCTCCCCTCTCGCTCTCCTTCCTCCTCCCCCTCTCCTCCCGTCTCTGGTCCTCCGCTTCCTCCTCCTGACCCCTCTCCCGCTGTTTTCCCTCGTTCTCAGTCTTCGTTGTCCCCTCCTCCTTCTCAGACTTGGGCCTCTCGTCGCTCCCCTCGTGCTCGTCCCTCGTCTCCTGTTCCCTTCACTGACCTTCGTACTGCCTTACTTTGTTCTCGTCCACCTCGACCGTCTCCGTCTGTGCTTCCGTCTCCTCCTGAGTCTGCCCTCACTGCGTCGCTTCCTACTCCTGTCACTGACTACTACCGCACGTACCGTCCTGTTCTCTCTCGTGTTCTCGCCTCTCTTGTTACTCACCCTCGTGCCTCTCTGTCCTCTGTGTCCGCTCTTACTGCCGCAGTCACTGACTTTGCCTCTACCCGCCGCCTTGACTTCGCCACCGGTCTTGTGGCTGCTCCTCCTTCCAGTCCTCTGGCCGTCGGGGGTGTGTCTGCCCTTGGCTGTGACGCCCTAGAGGACAGGCAGTTTGAGCTAGAGTTCCTGGCAGCCGCTTCCCCTCATCTCTGTGCCATGCTCCTCGCCCCTGAGGGTGACCCCGACGCCCTTGACATTCCGACTCCTCGCACTTATGCTGAGGCAGTGTCAGGGCCTTGGGCCTCTCAGTGGAGAGCTGCCATGGACGCAGAGATGGCCTCCTACAGATCCACAGGCACCTACGTCGATGAGGTTCCCCCCCCTGGGGCGAACGTAGTCGACGGCATGTGGATCTACAGGGTGAAGCGGCCACCGGGATCTCCCCCGGTCTTCAAGGCGCGCTACGTGGCTAGAGGTTTCAGTCAGCGCGAGGGAGTTGACTTCTTTCAGACCTTCGCGCCTACCCCGAAGATGACCACTCTTCGGGTGATACTACACGTAGCAGCACAAAGAGACTACGAGTTACAGTCTCTCGACTTCTCCACTGCTTTCCTTCAGGGCAGCCTACACGAGGAGGTCTGGCTGCGTCGTCCCTCTGCCTTCACTGGCACCTTCCCTCCTGGGACCCAGTGGAGGCTGAGGCGACCTGTCTACGGTCTTCGCCAGGCCCCTCGTGAGTGGCACGACACTCTGCGTTCTACCCTCTCTGACCTTGGGTTCCAGCCGTCTTCTGCCGACCCGTCGCTGTTCGTTCGTCGTGGCTCCACACCGTTCTTTGTTCTGGTCTACGTCGACGACCTCGTTTTCGCCACTGCTGACAGGGTTGCTTTGGCAGACGTGAAGTCCGAACTGCAGAAGAGACACACCTGCACTGACCTTGGTGAGCTGCGCCACTACCTTGGCCTGCAGATCACCAGGGACAGAGCTGCTCGCACCATTACACTTTCACAGTCACACATGGTGCAGCAGGTCCTTCAGCGGTTCGGGCTTCAGCACTCCACAGTACAGTGCACACCTCTTGCTGTTGACCACAGACTCACTGGACCCTTTCCTGACGAGCCGTTTGAGCCTAGTGGTCCCTACGCAGAGCTTGTGGGTTGCCTCATGTACCTGATGACTTGTACTCGCCCAGACCTCGCCTTCCCTCTCAGCGTCCTTGCGCGCTTTGTTGCGCCAGGGAGACACCGTCCTGTTCACTGGACAGCAGCTGTGAGGGTGGCAAAGTACCTAGCGACGACATCAGGCATGGGGCTAGTTCTTGGAGGGCAGCAGTCTGTCGTACTTACTGGTCACTGTGACTCTTCTTACGCTGACGACGCTGAGACTCACAGGTCTACTCAGGGGTACTGTTTCAGCCTGGGTTCTGGAGCTGTTTCCTGGCGGTCCACGCGCTCCTCTTCGGTCTCGACCTCTACAGCTGAGGCTGAGATCTACGCTGGTGCCATGGCGGCACAGGAGCTGCGTTGGTTGACGTTCTTGCTCGCCGACCTTGGTGAGCGGCCGAGCTCTGCACCGACCTTGTTCACTGACAACAAGGCGTCGATTCTCCTTTGTCGAGAGCCGCGACTGGAGAGCAGAGTGAAGCACATTCACGTCAGGTACTTTCTTCTGCGAGAGTTGCAGAGACGTGGACAGGCTCGCTTCGAGTTTGTGGAGTCCGAGGCCAACACTGCAGACATCTTCACCAAGACGCTTCCGCCTTGTGACCACCAGAGGTGCTGTGTGCAGTTAGGCCTTGTTGACACTGGTTCTCGTCTTGCTTAGACTTGAGTGCACTGTTTACTTTGCTTGTACGCTTTCTATATTTCTCTGTTACATCTTGGACTGGCCTTTTGGCCACCGGTGTTTGTGCTCAGAGTGTGTGGTGACGTTGTGATCCACCCTGAGATTTGTTTCTTGGACTGGTCTTGTGACCGTACTCTTTTGGTTCTGCTAGACACCCCTCACTTAGGCTATGGGGGTGTGTCAAATGTTGTAGCCTATAGTGAGGATTGTCTTAGGGGGTACAAAAGTTAGGGTTAGCTATATGTACCCCAACCAACATCAATGCATCATTCATTCCTCATTTTGACACAGATATACACACCTAATTACATATGTTGCTCTAATCTCTAGCATATTACAGCAGAGAGAATCTTGCTGTGATTTGCACTTCAGCAGATTTCATTATTTTGCTAATGGCTCATGCTGCAACGGCAGCAGCGGACGAACTCCTCGTCTTAAAAAGTCTTGATACTTCAAACCTCCGCCGAATTTGTTCCAACTTAGATGTTTCGTTCTCGACCCTTCTAGCCGGCATGTTGTTGCGTGTAGGTCTCGCTTCAGGTGCCTTTACAACAGCCTTTGAGCCCACAGGCTTCGGAATCTTCGTAGGTATGCAGGAAAGTGCAGCCAACGAAAGCGTTTTCTGAGCTTTTTGCTGCAGCTTGCGCTGCTTCGTCTGTCCTCATTGCTTCGGTGGCACGTCACAGGAGGCAACTCGAACAACAGTCTCCTTGGCAGATCTCGCAGCCGCTGGACGCAGGGGAGAAAACCCAAGTGGTGCACGGAAGGACCTATCCTGCGGTAGTATGTTATTTTCTTCGAATCTGCCGAATTTCATGGCAGCGAAGAAGGCACTGAAGCCTTTCTTGGTAGTTCGAAGCCTCCTTGTGTCAGTGTTGGGTCGTCTGTCATTGCTGGGGGGCTGGCTGCCGTTCACCATGCAGACATTTGCCATCGTAGTGCTATAGACGATTTGAGAAGGCTGATTTTTCAACAAGATAAATTTGC